CCTCCGACCTACTAGCGATGGCCTCCAACCTAAGGGCGATGGCCTCCAACCTAGAAGCGATGGCCTCCAACCTACCAAAAGCTTCGTTTTGGTTGTGCTTTTAAAAGGCTCCTTTTTGTACGCAGGCGAGAGTGTGAGACCGATGTAATTCACCAGACCTTCGCAAAACATTATGCGGAGCTCTTCAATCAGGACGCAAGTCTGAGTGCTCAACAAGAGCGCTCATTACTCATAAGAACTGCTTGGCTTCATCGATGTTTTGTTGGTGAATGCAGCTCAGGAGGTGCACCGGCATGCTGTAGAAACTGGCTTGGGCCGCTGTGGGGCACATGACATCGACTTTTTGTTGACTCATGCCCTTTGGCATCATGTAGAGTCTGTTGTTCCGATTCATCAAATTCGAAGGCGTGGTGACTTTCTTCACTGACTTTCATGAGGTGGTTGAAATGCCAGACAGGGTGACCATGTCTGCGGAAGCATTCGTGCTGGGTGAGTGCCCAGCACATAGAAAGCACCAACGACACTGGGCGCAGGCCACTTTTGCTTGGTTGCATTCCAAGAAGCGACACACCTAGCACTGAAAGTGGCAGAATCTACAGTGGAAGAAAGGTCTAACACAGTTTGCTATTAGATTGGAGGCCATCGCTATTGGAAACAAAAGAAAGGTCTAATATAAGAACGGTGCAGGCTGTGCAGGCTTCCGGGTTTTCGTGTCCGAGACCGGTCAAGGTACCGGAAGCACAACACAAATGGTGGCTGCACCATAGGTCCGCGCACCACCCCACAGGCCTTCAGCAACTTTGCTGAGACTTAGCTTCTTTATGCCTTTGAAGCAAACGGTGTTCACCTGAATTGAATTTTTCAAGCAAAAGCCTGAAATCAACAAACAGTGTAGAGTCAGATGACTCTTCTGAAGTAAAAGCCCGCCCAAAGCTTTGCTGCTCTTGTCCTTTTCTTTTAAGCCCGCCCTTATTTAATTAAGCGGATACTGCCTACTTACTTAAGTAAGGGAGAAGTTCCCAACTAGCTACTAAAGCTTCTAGTAACTGGACCCAGGATAGCTCACGCTTCTTCAAGGAAGCTCCCCCGCCTGAGGGTGGAGGGGAGCTTCCTTGAAGACGCGCGCGCACTAATGCTTTGGTTCCTAGTAGCGATGCACTTGTTACTAGTAGCGTCCTCTTGTTCCTAGTAGTAAGGCCAGGAGCCCCTAGTAGCGTCCTTTGCTCCTAGTAGCTTCTTGTTACTACTAGTAAGGCACCTGTTACTACTAGCGTGGCACTTGTTCCTAGTAGCGTCTTTGTTCCCACTTAACTCTTGATGGACCGCGCTGAGGTTACTTTACCTTCATCAAGTCTGGTCGCCGGCTGTGTGAAACTTAGATGAAGTCCCACGTTGGATCGTGGATCGTGGATTCGATAAATATCGGAAGATTGCTTAGGATGATCGTTGACATTCAGGGCGTTTTGGATCTCTACACAGGCGGATTTGTTGGGCCCTTTACGGAGTGAGTTAGTGACCGGATTTTTCCTTTGCGCCCTTGTTACTAACTTTGTCGATCTCGACGTTGCGCTTTTGGCGAGTCTTTGGGTTTTCTCGCCGTCCAGATCCAGTGATTCACTTCCTTCCGAGTCAAGTCTCTGGGAAGCTGGCGGGTGCAGTCCTCAAGACAGCGAGGGACCATCGCAACATATTGCTCTGCCAGCATTAACGTGAACGAAGCTGGGCCGTGATGAATTGGAGGAAGAGGTAAGGTGAATTAGCCTGTATGACATGTCCAGCAGGGACAGGGTTTCGTGGAAGCTTCAGGAAGCTTTAGCCACGAGAAGCTTCCTTGAACAAGAATACCATTTTGTCGGAACGGACATGACAAAAGACTTGAAGTTTGAAGCTACTAGAGTCCTAGAGGCTCCTGGCCATACTGGGAGCAAGGACGCTACTGGCTCCTGGCATTGCTACTAGTAGCTTCTAACAAGGCCGCGTGTCGACGCTCAGGTGCGGACATGGAGCTGAACTTCGGGATTCGTGGCTTTGCTTTGTTCCTTTGGAGCCACCGCCGGAATGACATCGCAGCTCAGCCAGACTGTCCGTGTGCCCATTGAGATCCATCTAGGACTTGACTGGTCTTTGAAAGGTTTCCTTGCTAGGAAGGAGTGGTCAAGTCCAAGGTTGACCAGAATGAAATCCTGTTTAGGCCTTTGATGGACATTGGTATTGACACTACTAGGAACAAGAAGCTACTAGGGGCTCCTGGCATCGCTACTAGGAGCATTCTTACTACGAACGGAACAAGAAGCTTTGCTGAAGAGATTCGGTGAGTCGGGTCAAAGCACTCGGTTCATGGAAGAACCACGTAACAATGTTTGCTAGTAGTAACAAGTGCCTTACTAGTAGTAACAAGAAGCTACTAGTAACAAGTGCATCGCTTCTAGTAACAAGTGCCTTACTAGTAGTAACAAGAAGCTACTAGTAACAAGTGCATCGCTTCTAGTAACAAGTGCCTTACTAGTAGTAACAAGAAGCTACTAGGAACAAGTGCATCGCTTCTAGTAACAAGTGCCTTACTAGTAGT